TAATAGATTTTTAAAAACTACATAGACAAAAAATATTAGATTCTAAGCGGAGCGAGGAATGTATTAATTTTACCATGATGTTTGTTTTTTTTTTGTGTGTCTGTTATCACGTTTTGGGACAATAAAAGTGCTTCGGTTTTCGACTTCAGTACCTTGTTCAATCAGAAAGTGAATCTAGTTGGTACTTTGTGGGGGGAGGGGGTCAAAAATAAAAAATAATCAATTTTTTTTTAAATAATCGGAGTAAACAAACTAAAAATTAAGGKGAAAACGGGAAATTTTACGCACAATCAGTTTTCGAAAAAATCGATTTTGGTTTTTGATGTAACATTAAAACAAATGACCATAGACACATGAAATTTTCACCAAATGTTTATAAAAGTATATTCTATCCACAATGCAATTTTCAAAAAATTCGATTTAAGTTGAACTATTTATATGCATATGCAATTTTCGATCATTATTAGTTTTTTTTAAATTAATATCGATGAAAATTTATTTGTTGGGTAGAAAAGTTTGAAAATTTAATACAAGGCTCCTAACATATTATTACAAAAGCAGTTAAAAAATAAAAGAAACTCATATARTCACAATATTTTTTATAATCATTCAAAGTTCGACAAAATACGTAAAAATCACAAAAATTCGCAAATTATTTTAAGCTAATCATAAAATATCATAAAAAAATTTCTTTTTAAATCTAATATTTGGAAATTTAATACAAGATTCCTTACAAGTTTTTCAATCTTTATCTCAAAAGAAATGTCCACCGGAAATTCAAATTAAATTTTTATGAGTGTTTGAAATTTAAATTTTTACAACATTGGATTTTCACTGGATTTCACATTTAGCGATTTTCTTATTTTGATGTAACTCTAAAACAAATAACCGCAGAWACTTGAAATTTTCACTGAATGTTTATATAGGCATTTTATATATTTTATAAAATTTTCAAAATATTTTGATTTGTTTTGAGCTGTTTACTGACATTTTAGTTTTTAAACTTTTTTTAGTTTTTTTTCYATAAATATCGATAAAAATGTATTTGTTGCGTAGAAAAGCTTGAAAATGTAATTCAAGGCACCTAACACATTGTTACGATTGCAGTTGAAAAATATTWAAAATACATAGGCATTTTTCTGTCCAATATAATTTTTCTATTGTTACCAATAATTTAAGTTAGATACCTCCTACCAAGACACCGATTATACACAATATTCATCAAGTGAGAAAAKAAGCGGTTAAGTGGATGGAGGATCTGGATTGTAACTACAATTAATCAACTTTTTAACTTTTTAATTAGAATCATTATTAWATGTTTTTATTTTATTTTTATTCAATGATTTTGTCAACTGTTRTTGAACTATTTGTATTTATATTAGCTAGTAGATAAAACSTGTTGCTCATATAATGTCATACAAAATAAATAAATAAAASCATTTAATTGATTTATGTATAATACTTAACATATTTCAAAAAAACTGTTTTTTTCATTTAAATTTYAAGCTATAAAAAACTAAATTTCAACTTTTACTGTTACTGTTTTCTCCAAACTTATGTAGAAATTAAGTTAAAAATTTGGAAAATTTGGAAAATTTCAAAAACTAACTTATTCTAACTTGTTTAATTTTCATATTAAGGTAACTTCACTTTAACTAGTTGAACCAAATGACTAACTTGCGCAACTTTGCCGTAATTATGACAATCAATTACTACTGTATTTATAAACTTAAAAACAACAAATTATATATTATATTTGAGGACAGGCTACAATAATCATCAATTCATMATCATTCAATTTTTTTAAGACTCTAAATATTGCCGATATATTGGTACCTTTAGAAAAAAAAAATGTTAATTAATATCCTTGTGAATTAGTATACAAACATTTCTTGTTTAAACTAAATTTTTTAAATTCATTTTTCATGGTTTGACATTACTTAAAAGCTAAACTAATAATATTAACACTTCGCACTGGATATTAGATATTATATAGGTGGTACATTTAACAAAGTAAAACAAGATTATTGTTCGGTGTTCAGCATTTAGTATCTGTATAGTATTCTTACATTTTGATTATTCTAAATTATACCTTTAAAATCACTTATCTATACATACATTTAATATTTTATTTAAAAATCATTCTTATTTTTACTTAGTACATTAATTTGTCTACTTTATACGTTACTAAGGTATTTTAAATTATCCGTTTATAGCCATTTAAATAAGAAGTAAACAATTGTGTATATTCTTTTAACAAATTATGAATGTAAAAATTAATAGTATTATACTATCCGGGATTAGGGTATTTATATTTATTTTATAACCATACATAATCCAATTAAATGTAGTTGTTTTAAAACACGTGATGTTTTGAAATGTAAAAATTGAAGACCATTCCATTTGAACGATTTATTATTAAAATATCTTACATTAAGACGATATGATTCTAAAAATAGAAGAGAATTTTTTTTTTTTATCTTTAAATTAATACATTTGTGTAGAATTCACATATGTATCCAGTTACATTAAAATACTATGGTATTTTTTTTTTCAAATAATATAAACTCTCAATTGTGAATGTATCATGTATTTAATCATTGAACTCATCGTGATTTCTTAAAARTACATACATTTACTATTTAGCCATGTAGATATTTTGAATGTTAGATAGATAAACGAAGTTGATTAAAAATGTATGAATTCATTTTTTACAATCGCCGGGTATTTCAAACGAATACGTAATTTAGTACTTATTCTATAATTTAGTTGCAAATGCATGTAAATTATTTTCATTATTGCAGATAGTAATATTTTAAGCAATTTAAATACAGAATAGGAATACGGTATTATATTAATAATTCAATCATAATATTAATCGATAATCATTTTATCAATTTTTAAGCAATTTAAATACAGAATAGGAATACGGTATTATATTAATAATTCAATCATAATATTAATCGATAATCATTTTATCAATTTTTAATTTAATCTATATAGTTTGTAAAATAATTAAATTAAAACTTCAGTCAAATCCATGATATATTAATGAATAAAGCGCATTTCTGACGAGATGAAAACATGTATTTATAACGTGGGGAATCTCAAAATATATTAGTTGGATCTACCCCAAGTGTTACAATTGTCAATTATTTTTCACAACAGCCCACAAACCTGTATTTACGTCCAATAAAACATTTATAAAATTTGTTATCATATCGTAATAGTATAGTTGATTGATGTATTTTGTGCAAAAATATGAAAATCTCTATTAATCAAAATCTGTTCGTTATGTGGCACATTCAAAAGTTATATAAGCAATAATGATCAAATCAATTGGTGTGCGTGTAGATGGGGTTTTGATTCATGTTTTGATTCATGTTTTGTTTTATTATTTTAACGCATAAGACAGTTACATAATTTACAGAGTATTTTTGAACAACAGTATAATGTTTGGTGAGAACGAATAATTTATAAGACGTACTTCAATAAAAAAAAAAAATTAAAAATAGTATAGTGCACTACGTACGATAATATTATAAATATAATTTTAATACCACACACACACACAAATATTATAACTATATAGCTATCTTATATCATATTATTATACTTACACGTGTGACAGCCGACGACGGAGACGAACGCGACGAGGATGGCGAAGACGAGCGTCATGGTCGCGATGGAGATCGTCACAGAATCCCGTCTAGTCGTAGTATTTGTAGTAGTAGTTGATATAGTAGTAGTGTACACCGCCGCAACATTATCCTCCCGAGCAACACTGAGTCAACCCCGTCGGTCGCCGCCGCCGCGGTCGCCGATGTATACTTGCACGTGATCCACCGCCGATCATGCTCCGCGGGCCGCCGCTATACTACCACGCCGAACCGCGGTACACCCCTTTGCGTTTAAGTATAGGTGAACATAAACCGCCCTCGTGATTTTCAAAATACACTGCAAGGTTGTTCAAAATACGATTCATCATCCGATATAGATCGTTTATAGGTTTTTAGTTTTTAAGATTAGAGTAATATAATAGCATAAATAAATATAATATACATTTAATAAACAAGAATAATATTTCAAAATATATTTGATGATAGGTACCTTATTAGTAATTACAGATGTTCTACGTGGATTTCCTTGGTCACACACTTACAACAACAACGCGCAATATCTTGTCGGAAAACAAATATATTCCATACATATCTGTGTTGTAATTGCAGACTTCGTTAATTGTTTAGCTCCCCTGTGGTTGGCGGTAATGGTGGTATATGTACCATTGACAAACAACTGGTGGCGAGTAACTCTTTCTTTGCTGTTTTTTCTTCCTGAACAAGTCTATCCTTTTAAAACAAATGTTTGATTCTAATGATAAAGATTAAAAACATGACTGAGTTATCTACACTCAACCATTTTTAAATTTGACTTATCGCGAAAATATTACATTAAGTGTACAGGAATTTCCTAGGTATAGATAAAAATTTGAGGTATCGAGGTTTTTGAGTAATCGAAACTCGACTGTAACGTAATTGTAAGTCAATTTCCAATATAATTTAGCTTTAACAATGGAGTTTATTTCTTATTTAACTACACAATAATTACAATGCACTTCATTATTCTAATTTATTAAAACAAAACCATAATAAGGAAAAATTATAGGAAATCAAAACTTATTTTATTGGTGTTCAAATAAATTATTTTCCTACCACTGCTCTTAAATAAAACCCGTAATTGGTTTTAAGGACAGCCAAATAAAATAATAATTCAATTTTAAAAATATATAACGAATATTTTGTTTCTTTTATTTATTTACTGCTGCGATGACATTTAATTTATACGATGCAAGAACATATTTTTATCTTGGTAGGAAATCCCATCTATAAGTATAGGTGTACTACCTTATGTATGTATGGATGTATATAAATTTATTTTTTAATATAATTAATGCATAAATTCAAAATTGAATATATCAAGCAAATACTAACTAATGTAACATGCCATTGGTATGATAATAATCGTAAACTATATTATACAAAATGAAAACTAAATAAAATTTCTATAACTTAATTATTACGTACACACTACGCACTAATTTTATACTATATAATATATATAATATTGAAAAATGTCATTCATATTATTCAAGTTAAGTTATTGTCCAATATAGTGAATTATACTAAAAATTAGGTATAATATTTTATATCTTAGTTAATAAATAGTAAGCTACGTAAAATTAAAATTAAATACCTAAAAATTAAGGAAATTTTCAATTATCTTAGATAGAAATTCATAAGTTTTTCCTTTTTTAAAATTTTAAAATATTTTCAATATATTAATTGTAAATATATTATAACAATCATAAATATAAATATAACTTTATATTAGGATACATTTTTAAGCATAGGTACAATATGAATTTCCGTATACTATACAAAACAAAGGTTAACGACTTGATACAGGACAGAGCAAAATATAAAGGCATATAGGAAAGCWTATAGTTGACGGTCGACCGAACTCGGCCATACTTATTTAATGGGCTTAGCAACGGTTCACTGGTGTGAGAAATACCTTTGGCACCTCTAGACGATAAGTAATCCGACATCACGAACTGTTGCATTTAACGCAAATTCCGTGTAATCATGTTAAGGTATTAAATACATTAAAAATAATTTAAATTATTGAACTAAAATTCACATGATATACACCATAAGTCTGGAACACGTAAAATAAATAAAATATAATTTGTATAGCATTTAAATATTTATAAATATAGAACCAAAAATTACTGTTAAAAAATATTTTAAGTTAAATCGATTGAAAAACAACATAGCGTGCTATGAAGTACATAGTACTAATAAAAAGTACGTAGTACTACCATAGTAGGAAGAGAGATCGATGTCAACCAAAGATTATAATTAAAAAGTTTAAAAGTGCTTGTATAGAAAATTGTTGTACTACCTCATGCAGAACATTGTAAAGTTGACGGCGATATCGCATAAGAGTAAGTACCTAGGTACATAATATGAAAACAGCCATATGTAAAACATAATTATGTGACGAGGAACACACTAAGAAAATATAAGTACATATACCTATAGTATACACGTAAAATAATTAATTTACAATAATTCTTATGTATTTTGAAATTTTAAAACTGTTATTTTTATATTTACTTTAAATTATTAACGCATTAAAATCAGATTTCTACTTTTCTATTAACATATTAAATAAATAGAAAAACGTAATTAACATAATATTATGCAGGCAATATACAAATAGCACATTCAATTCAATATAATATACCTTCATTAAATTTTTGGGTTTTTTATACCACTTTAGTAAACTTATATTTATTTGTTTAAATTTATACTTACAATTAATAATTTCTGTTAGGTACCTACACAATACAATTGTTTTGATTAACATTTTTTTAACGTAAAAAAAAACAGCTTTAATATACATATAGAAAATACAGAAATATAGATTTATTTTAAGATTTCGCTTTTTTTGTTTGTTAAAAACCATTAAATGATGAAAAATGGAATCATGAGGAATATTGTTCATAGTACCATGCGAATGTAACAATTATATGCACAGTGCACATTACATGTGCAATGAACATTCATAAGGGTAGCATTTCCATCTGGATTGAGTGAAAATGTGAAAACAAAAAAAGAATAGAGAATGAAAGAAACTTAATATTTTAGTGAACAATAAATTCCTATGGATATTTTCATTCTACTCGTACAAATAACAAAAACATTTGTAAATATAACCYACCTAATCAATTGATAGTTACCAACACTTAATAACTATRGTAATTAGTTTCACTTACTTTAAAATAACTAAAGTACAAATAACACTTAGTGCATTTTTAGCGAATTAAATTATTTTTAAGTATAGGTTTCACAAGTTCTAACATTTTCTATTTCCTAAAAATACCTAGTAAATATAACAAAGATTAGGTATACCACAGGCATGAGCCTAYTAAAATTAAACATAAGGCATATAAGGTGTATGTATAAAACTAAGTTTATTCAAAAATGTTATGTTATTTAAAGTTCTAATAATCTACTGTAACCTAATAGGCCCATATAATCATACATTTTTAATTTGTATTCCCAAACACGTATTTTTCAATTTCATTTAACATATTAAAAATCAACTAAAAACAAATAATAGCAAAAGCCTAATTAAAGTGTTGAAAGACAAAGGTCATTGTATTATTATAGGTAAGTTTTGTCATTATCTAAATTGCAGACTTYATCTACTAAATTTAAAATTAACAATAGTAGTGATCGAAAAAGAAGAGATCATCTAAGATTGTAATATGTCTAGACATATTTTTTATTTTCAAACATTGTGTCTGATTTTGATCAAATAACTGAATATTTTAAGAGGTATATATTTTTAATTACTTAAACTTTTTACGAAAAAATGTGCATTAATATTTGGTAAATTTTTATATTTTTGGTTAGATTTCCTGTTCTCGACTAAATGTATAAGTAAGTATATACTATATATATATATTTAACTACGATATTGTTTTAATTTATATGCACTTTAGTATAAAATAATAATTGCTAAAAGTAGGAAATTATAACTATCGTCTATCATAGTACATGGAAAACCATATCACACTTACATTATATACACACAATAATTTTATTAAAATATTTATTTAGTATTAATTTTTAAAATATACTATAGAAATGTTTTCAACAAATTTACGCATAGTTTATAAAATATGATGTTATAGTCTTAAAACATTTTTTTTTGTGATAATTAAAATACAGTGAAAACTCTCTATAACGAATCTGAAGGGACTATGTGATTTCTTTCGTTATTGAGAGTTTTCATAATAAAGAGTAATTAATAGGTTTTAAATCAAACCAACCATTATAAGTTAACTTCATGTTATTTCGTAATATAGTTTTTCGTTATAAAGAGTTTCCACTGTATTATATTTTTTAAATGTTATCATCATACATTCATACAGAATGATACTATATAGGTGGGAAATTATTTCTGTTTGGAAAATTGTTACACTATTTAACCAGTATCTAGTTGTGAAAGGAGATATGTGTCTATTGAAGCGTTTTTGAATTTACAAGATGTTTTTTAACAATCGATTTGAATAACATTAAATAAACCACGTGGTATAAATTATGGTGTATGGTACCTATTACAATAAAAAAAAATTTGTTGTACCTATACAACATAGGTGACAATATTTCTTAATATATCTCTCTTAATCTCAATGATTATGGAGGACACCTAAAATGGTAAACAGAAAACTGGTATACGGTCTTTATAAATGCGGAATAATGGTACGATCCACAATAGTCAAGGTTTCCCAAACTTAGATTTTAGAATAAGTTATGGTATGATTAACACTTTAGCATTTTTACCCATTAGTGAAGTACTAGATGGAATGGCTTATTTATATACAACGACACCTGTACAATTGTTACCATAACTAAATTATTTTGACAAAACTTATGTTAGTGGGAAGTCTGAGAGCCCAAAATTGTCTCCCCACTTTTGGTATGTGCATGACATTACTTTAAATAATGGCAATTGAACAAATAATCCATCATTTTGGTTAGTAGTTAAATATATCCAACAAGATGAAGCGACAACGCGGATTGAARGAACACACAATACAAATAATACCTTAATGCCTAAAAGTTCAAAAAAACAAAATAGTTTGCAAGAAAAACTACATAATGAATGTGAGAGCTATTTGAGTAAAGAGATTAATATAAGACAATTTTTAAATAATATAGCTATATGTACGAAATAGTTGTTTATATTTATTAACTCAGGGCCGTATTTAGGAATTTGACAGCAAGGGGCAACAAAAAAAA